AGATCTTTATTGATACTGCGTCTCAGCTATATGTAAAAATATTGAGTCTTCTAATCCATAAACATGGCATATTACTTTATTCAAGTTTTAAAATTTCCTCTCAACAGTGTGTTATGAGATGTTGGAGATGGGCTATAGCACCTTTTAATATAATTATTCCAAGGTATTAGTATTTATTGGGATCCTATTATACTATAGGAGGCATACTTTGGGCTTAACTTCATTTTTTAAGTTTTGTGGCCGGTGTTGACTGTTAATCCAGCAGTGTTGTTATATTATCTTGCTAATTATAATATTTCATCTGATGATCCTTTCACATTTTCCTGTAAAAACCGTCATGCAGGCTGCAAATTATGAGAGTTTTATATTTTCCTATCCAGACTTTTGACACATTGTCTGTTCCCCACAGCTTAATGGCTAAGACTTTATACGGTGGTCTCTAAGCGTGATGATTACTTGTTAGCTGTTTATAGACCCCACTTCTCACATTACTGAAATCCTCTCCTGTTCTTATTTATAAGGTGTTTGTCACAAACACATACTGATTTTTATCAAGTTTTCCTTTTGCATCTAGTGATATGATCCATGAAATTTTCTCCTTTATTTTATTAATACAATGACCCAAAGGAAAAATTATAGATTACCTATCGTTGAGAACTAAGTGATGTTATTCACACAGATTGCTTGGAACAGGACCTGGTGGAAATGAAACACCCAGGTGTTTAAATGTGTGTCTTGTGACTCTGCTTGTAGGCCGAGCCATAGCGAGTGCCTGAGGGGCAGAGAGAAGAGAGGGCGTCCCGGCAGAGCTAAACAGTCTCTGAGCTCAACTTCCTTAGGCTTCCTGGTACTTTAGGACCAACCCCTAATGTTTTCTCCTCTGCAGATGATGAAGAGCAGTGCTTTAAAAACGATTTCCCTGTCAGATTTGTAGTACCAATAAAACTTAAGTATCTTATTAAATTTGACAGAAGAACATGGATTAAGCTCACCACACTATATCAGCCGTCATACGATCAATTCTCTCACACAATGGTGATCTGAGTGC